AGCATGTAAACCATTTTTGTTACCTGACTGATAAAATAAACATCACCTATAGATGGGTTTGAATAAGCAAATATAGTATAGGCCAATAGGAGAGAAACTACTGTAGCATTGAGGCTGGGCAAGATATGTTCTCAGAAAAGTCCACTAATTATGTAACAAGAGTGCCACCTACTGTGCCATTTTGGAAATCAAAAGTTGAGTATCATTGAATAGAACTTAAAGATAGGCTAAGAAATCTTCTGGTCTAATCCACTTGTTTTACAGATGAGGAGACTGAGGCTTCCAAACTAAGATTAAATGGTTTGTCCAAGGTGTATACAAGTTAGCGATAGAGCTGGGACTAGAATACAAGCCTTCTAATTCCTACTCCAGGCTTCTTTTTTCCTTATTCTCTCCTACTTATTAATAAAGCTTTAAGTATCCTTTGCCTAAGGAAAAATTTGCAACAGGAAGAAATCATTTAACAGGCAGCAAACCCAAAGTTGATGGAACCGTTCAGTGTATAAATAACTCTTAAAGAGAGATCAAAATCCTTCATTGTCTCCCAGGCTTCTCTTCAGAGCTTTCTTTTTTCTCTGTATCTGCTTTTTGTGTTTTATTGTTGTTCCCTTCCTTTCACTCTCCATATATGTATTGAGCTAAATGTTTCCCAACATAAAAATTAATTTAATTACTCTTGTGATATCTTTTATTCTTCCTCTAATACAAATGAGTTCCACAATTAGATTGCTGGAGATGGAAGGGACCTTACAGATTAGCTATTAAAACTCTGTCATTTTACAAAGTGGCCCAGTAAGATGAGTGATTTATCTAGGTCATGTGACTACTTAGTAACAGAAACTGCATTAGAGCTTAGGTTTCTTGAATGTCACAGAGGTCTTCAAATGAGGGTATATACATATATATGTGTGTGTATGAATGTATATTTTTTTGATATTTTGAAAACTGTATTTCAAAATGGTTATCAAATTTTAACACAGGGAATGACAGCTATGTAGCACAGTGGATAGAGTGCTAGGCCTACAGTCAGGAAGACCTGAGGTCAAATTTGGTCACACTTATTAGCTGGGTGACCCTGGGTCAGTCAACCTGTGCCTCAGTTCTCTCCTTTGTACAATGGATTTAATAATAGCATCTACCTCAGAAAGCTCCTGAGAGGATAAAATGAAATCATATTTGTAAAGTGCTTTGTAAACCTTAACACTCTTGATAATATGACAGCTATTATTATTAACTAATATTTTCAATAACTGAAAATAATAATAATCTTTTATAATCCTATGCATTTTATTTTATGCATTTCAAGACATTATTCTGAGAAAGAGTCCATAGGCTTTACCAGGTTAAGAACCCCTGGTTTACAGTGCTCTTTTAAATATACCAGGCTATTCCCTCTACTTTCTCACCATTCATTCTCTTTTCAACCCTTCACAATTCGGCTTCCATCTCTACCATTCTACTGAGATTATTTTCTCCAACATCAATGACCTCCTAATCAATAAATCCAATTTTTTTTCCCCACTTCTCAACCTCCTGGGCCTGTCTGGATTATCTGATCAACCCCTGCTTCTATATATTTCCTCCTCCTTTGACCTCTGGCTTCTCCTTGATATCATATTGTTTTGCTTCTTTTTCCACCTCTCTAACAATCTTTCATCCTCTTCACTAGCATCTCATCCTTTTCCTTGAGTGTTCCCAGGAGGCTTCTCTGTTTATCTCTCTGCTCTTTCCTTCAATAACTTCATATGATCCCAACACTTTGACTATTTCCTCTACTCAGGTGACTCTCAAATGTTTAGCTCTAGCCTCAACTTTTTTTTTTTTCCTGAGCTCTGGATCTGAATTTCTAACTGTCAATTTAGAAGATCTTTACTTGGATGTTCCACTATGACTTCAAACTTCAATATGAATCAAAAGAAGCCTATTGTTCTCTTTGCCTTAAATATGGCACCACAATTCACTCCATCTTTCATATTTGTAATCTTGCTCCTGTGCACAGAATCTGGTCATGTTATTGCTCTGCTCAAAAATCTTCAGAAGTTTCCTATTGCTTAATAAGTAAGTTTCAAACTGTTGCCTGGTATTCAAGGCTCTTAACATTGCGGTATCTCCTAAACTTTCCAGTTTTATCTACTATTCCCTTCGATATTTTCTACATGCACCTCTTCTCATCTGTGCTTGTAGAACTTGGTTCCTACTTTTCCCTATTCCTGGAATCGTCTCCTTCCTGTCTACTGAATTCCTGTCTCTTAAAATCCAATTAAAATACTAGATCTTCTATGTTAATCTCCCCAGTAGGTAATAATCTTTCTTCAGACCTCATAAAGCACTTTCTTTGTACTTTTCTAATGCACCTACATATTACAGACAGTGATTCACTGTTATTCTCTAAGATAGTAAAAGAATGAGAGGAAAGCCTCCAGTGTATTGGGTGGATCCTTTATAAAGACTATATGGATAAAAACTGTAAAATACGTTGTAAAGAGATTTTTTTTTTTTGCTTTTTGGAGAGGCAATCGGGGTTAAGTGACTTGCCCAGGGTCACACAGCCATTAAGTGTCAAGTGTCTGAGATCACATTTGAACTCAGGTCCTCCTGACTCCAATGCCAGAGCTCTATCCACTGCTCCACCTAGATGCCCCTAAATAGATGTTTTAATCTGTACAGATGAAATCATAATATCTATCACAGTGATATATATACATATCACTATACATACATACATGTGTGTGCGTATCTCATATCCTCTACTGTGTGTGTGTATATCTCTTATAATCTTACTGTGCTACAAGCTTCATGAGGGCAGGGATTTTTTTTATGCTTTTTGGTGAGGCAATCAAGGTTGTGACTTGCCCAAGGTCACACAGCTAGTAAGTGTCAAGTGTCTGAGGCTGAATTTGAACTCAGATCTTCCTGACTTCAAGGCCTGAGCTCTATCCATTGTGCCACCTAGCTGCCCCAGGGACTTTTTTTTTTTTAAAGTTTTATTAAAGCCTTTTTTTTTTTAAACATCAAAGTCTTTTCTCAGCAGTCAGGAAAAGTTACTTTCTGGTGGTGGTAGCATTTGAGCTGAGCCTTAAGGATAGGCAAGACTTCAACAGGTTGATAATGTGTTCAACAGGCCTTAAATGTGGATGTCTTCCTCTTCTCTTTCTAAGCTCTCCACTCTGATGATCTAATCTACTTCCATGGTTTCAAAGATCGTTTCTAATACAGATGACTGCCAAATTTTTTACTTCCAACTCCAACATTGTCCCAGAGTTCCATGCCTATATTTCCATTAGCCTGCTGCCTCTACAGGACTTCAAACTCAACCTATTGGAACTCATTACCTTTCCTTGTAAACCTGCACCCTCAATTCTCCAGTAATAGTGCCATCACTATCCCAGTTTCCCAGGCTCCTAACCTTGACTTCCAACACATTCAATCAGCTGTCAAATTCTGTTGTTTCTGATTTAGCAACATCTCTGGTACCCAGCCTCACCTCTCTAATCTCCTCTCCCAATCTAATCTTTGTTTAGACCTTTATCTCTGCTCATCTTGATGATTATAACCATTTCTTACAGGCTCTTCCTTCCTCCATTGTATAGCCTCTCCCTTAGATGCTTCAGTGTTATCTGTGGCATCACTATAATTACAGTATTCCTCTACTCAATAAATTTTAGTAGCTCCCTGTTGCCCTCCAAAGTATAAACTCCTGTTCCTAGCATTTGAAGCTCTTCACAATTTAGTTCCAACGTGTCTCATACTACTCCCCTTCCCAAATTCTATATTCCCCTAACTGGACTTTTCTCCTTTGATGTCCCATACCTTTGCACAAACCATTTCCCTTCACCAACAGCTCCTGAAATTCCTCACTTTCTTCAAGGTCCAACTGGGCACCTCCTTCATTAAGTCTTCCCTAAATTCTTTGAACCCCAATCATCAGCTGAAAAGCAGCTTCTCCTGCTCAAAATTCACAGTCCTTTGTCTGGATCTATCTCCACTACATTTCTCTCACTCTCTGGTATTAGTTATTAGTGCTTTCGTTCCCCCTTTACCCCAATCCCTCATCAAACTATGAAATACTTCAAAGAAAGGACAGTGAACCACCTACCCTCGTATTACCTACCAGCCCCTAGCACCAAGTGAACTGGGGGGGGGGGGCATTCCTTGGAGGACAACAGCCAAAGCCCCCTCACGTGGTCCATCAAACTAGGTCGGGGCTGAGGGGTGGCTGGGGTAACAACATTATGCTGGAGCAAGGGGCAATTTTTTGCAACAACAAGGCGTTCCACATCCGGGCATCAGGGACCTGAAATCCCAGTCAATGTTAATTCATTCAATTAGCCAGGATTAAAATGGGGCAAAGCAGTGGTAGGCGCCAAAAGCAAAAAGAAAGGGGAAATAGCTCCTGCCCTCAAGGAGCTTATACTCTATTAAAGAGAAACAACTTGAACATTCGTTAGTAAATTACAAAATACAACGTAAATGTATTTTCCTCATCCCCGACCCCTTCAGGCTGGATGACTCAATGCCTCAGTTTCCCCTTAGATCTCCTTAAGGCTACTATTTCATAAAGACGTCTAGACCCTTGTCCGGGTATCGATGCTATAAAAACCCCCGACCTCCAAAACAACCTACCTCCAGGACAGCCGGCGTGCGGAGGAACTTAATGGGAAACTGGCATTTCCCCTACCAATCAACAAGTTCCGCTGAGAGATAGAAGTCCCAATAGCCTTCGCCACCGTCCCATCCCATCCCCGGCACATAGCTATCGCGAGATTTTCTCACCCACTGGAAGAGAGGGAGAGAGGTTACTGCTTCGGGAATCGCCGAGAATTGTCCCTTCCCCACCCACTGTTTCCTGGTAGCTTTTGATTGGTCTAAGAGCAAGGAGGGTGGGGCGACTCTGCCCTCTCCCTCCCTCCGTCTCCTCCCAGGTTTCCCATTGGCGGGTTCCCGGGGTAGGCCGGCGCGCGCGGGAGTCGGCGCCGCGTTCGAACCGGTGCTTGGCGGTGTTGCCATGGGGACGCGGCCTTGCCTTCTCGGCGGGTCGGTTTGTTGACGTACCGCAGGGTCACTAGGGGCAGTGCCCCGGGGTGTCAGAGCAGCCACAGTCAAAGGTTCGGATGCCTCAGCAGGTGAGAGAGAGGGGAATAGCGTTCCCGAGGTGGGGAGAGGCGGCGAGAGTCGGTGGTTGGAAGGAGCCCGGGAGACACTCGGAGAGTACGGGGTTGAGGCTAGGGATGGAGGGGGCCGCGTGGGGCTAAGGAGGAGGGAGGGAGAGGAGGAGCGGGGCCCGTGCTGGGTGGGGGGAGGGGGCGGCGCGGAGGTGGCCGCGTGGCCTCAGGTGTAGGGCGGCTGGAAGGGCTCGTGAAGCTCCGGAGAAGGAGGGGCCGGTCCCCGCGTAGGCACCTAGAGCGGGAACAGGAGAATTGGGAGTTAGGCCTCTCTGAGGGCAGTTTTATGAAGTAGACAAAATTCTGTTTCGAAGTCCTTTCCACCTCTTTCTTTACTTCTAGCCACTCCCCTCCAGCAGTCAGTCATTCAGTCAATGAACATTGATTAAGCACCAATGTGCCAAGAGAGGTGCTAAGCTCTAAGGATGCCAGGGAGGTATAAGACTTTCCCTGCTCTTTGCTACCCTTTGACTATCCCCACACATTGAAAGAACCCCCTCCCAAGGCTAACCTTTCTTAAGGGAGTCCAAAAATTATACCCCTCTCTTTCCCTTTAATCAAAACTCACCTTTCAATAGTTAGTTTCCTCTAGGCCTTAGGGAGAACAAAGCATGAAATTCAGTAAAGTGTAAAGGATGTGAAACTTGTTACCTAAACATTTACATTGTTTTGAGAAGAGTTTGGATAAATTAGTGGATCAGCAAATTTGTGACAACTTACTAAAGTAAGTTATGCCATTCTTATCAGTGAATGAATGAATGAATTAAAAAGCATTGATAAAATACTCTGTGCAAAGCTCTGGGCCATGCACTAGGGATACAAATAGTAAATAAGACTCCCTGACCTGAAGGAACTCACATTGTAATGAGACTCTAAAAATAATAGTAGCAAACATTTATATAGCACTTACTATGTGCCAGAGGCAGTATGCCAAGTGCTTTACAAATGTTATCTCATTTGATCCTCCTAACAATCTTTGGAAATAGGGGCTATTATCCCCATTTTACAGATGGAGAAATTGAAGCAAGCAGGTTAAGTGACTTTCCCGGGGTCACACAGCTAGGAAGTGTCTGAGGTTGAATTTGAATTCAGGTTTTCTGTATTTCAAGCCAGGCTATCAATCCACTAAAGCACCTAGCTGCCCCAATGACTGGCTCTAATGGAGAGATAGCATGTTTTCAGCTTCCTTTTAGGGGAAAAGGCTCCATGATCCTTAGGATACAGGAGCAATGCAGATGGCATTGCATCTTCTTTAAGGCCATTTCCACTGATAAAATCATCTGTTTCTGATATTGAACCATTTGACAAGGATTTTGGTGGTAAGAACTTTCTCTCCTGGGCCTTTAGTAGCGGTGGTTGCTGAAGAGGTTGTAGACCTGCAGAAGCAATTGCCCAGGTTGCAAAGCATTTAGTCTTCATGCAAGGAAAAACTTTCTTAACAATTAGAAATATCCAAATATGAATTGGGCTGCCTTAAGAGATCATAGAATCATAGGATCATAGATTTTGAGCTGGAAAGGAGGAGAGGAATTTAGAGGTCACTTAGTCCAGTCCTTTCATTTTCCACATAAGGCAGCTGAAGCCAGACAAGTGAAATGGTAGTGAATTTCCCCTTTAGAATATCTACAGATCTTCATATGACTGGAGTTGTTGCAAAGGGAATTCCTGTGTGGTCATGTATCACACTAGATGGCTTCTGAAGTTCTTCCAGCTCTGATTCAGTGAATATTTGAGGTTATGGGGAGAAACCACCCCTCCCATGGAACATCCCTTTTTTCTACCATCAGAAACAGAGTATTCACAATTAGTCTGAGCTAGGAGGGCAATTATTGCTCTCAAGATATAAATTAGGAGGCTTGTAACAAGCCTGCTGGTACTGAGGCCCTGGCATCAGGAATATAAATAATTGATTCCACTGTGCATAATGCATGATTTACCTTCCTATTAAGATGATGTCATTGTTAGAGTTGTGATCCACTTATACAGATAGACCTGAAGAGTCTCAAACTGACCTTTCCTTGCCATGTCAATGTGAAGATTGCAGTCTAATCAGTATGGCAGATGCCTTAAAGGTGGCTTGATGTCTTCACTTAAAATGAGATTGACCCATTGTGAAATGTTGTAGGCTTAGTGAGTCTAATACTGTTATTTCTTAGCTGTCCATAGCTTACATCACATCAGAGGATATTTAAAGTATTTTTTTGTATATGTGTTGCCTATAGTGTCGCTCCCTCCACTGACATAGTAGATGTTTAGGTATCCCAATGCCTATGTGAAAATCACTTCAGTGATGATGGACTAGCTGTTTTTCAGGACCTCATTGTTAGTGATTTTGCTATACTTTATAATGCATTTCTCACAAGTCATGCTGATAAGGCAGTTTAAAAAACCAGCATGTAATTTTTTCTCAGTCTTAAAACATTTTGGGCACTGCTGCAGACCTTCAGCTTCTTCTGGAATTTATCATTAGGTAGGCACCATATTTTTAGCTTTCCAGAGGACCTGGGATACATAGGCCTTATTTTTTTCTACAGTTTTAGTAAGTGCATCACAGTACTATGTTATTCAGGTTAATTCATTGCTACCTTTTATTTTAATTACTGATGAATATCATTCATCTGTCTATAGTATTGCCTTGGAAAGAGCTAACATGAGATCTCAATCATTTTAAAGCTTATCAGGTCCCTACTGGCTTGACAAACAGTTCATAATTTATACAGAGTAATTATTAAATAAATTATGAGCAAATGATCTCCTACCTCTTAATTTTAAGCGGTCGTTGTAACCTCTGAGGTCTCTTCTAGCTAGATCTTGTGAACTTATGGAATGATTGATTTAACTTCCTTGGGTCTCAGTTTTCATCCATAGAATGATGGGAGGAGTGCTAGACTAACTGGTCTCTGAGCTCTTTCCAGCGATGGTCTGCAATCCTATGACTCTGATTATGTTTCTGGCTTACTGAATTGAAAGAATTTTCCAGAAGAGGAAGCAAACAAGTGGATCCTTGTTGTATTCTTGATCATTGTGGGCCTGTGATTTCAACAATATGGAGGATTGCAAAACAGACTGGCAGTTTGTCTGTAACTTAGACTCATAGAAAGCTGCTTGTAGCATTGAGAAGTATTGACTTGATCATGGTCACATGGTTTTCCTGGCCCTCCTTTACTCTGCCTCATTGCATCTCATATGGTAATTTCACTCTTATTGTATCAGCTCTGTTTATTTTTGGTCTATTGCATATAGGCAACATGTTAGGATACTATAACTCTTGTTAACAATTCTCAAATTATCAGAGTCTCTTAGGATCTCCTAGAATTTCTCTGGGCAGCCAAATTTGCTTACTATAGTTGTAAGAGTCAAATGCTTTTGAGTATTTGATAAATTGAAGGCAGAATAGTGTAATGAAAGACCACTGCACTTGGGTTCAAATTGAAGTTTGGAAAGTTGCTTAGCTGAGGGACTGTGAGCAAGTCAACTAAACTCATCCATAAAATGGGGAGAGTAATGCCTGTGGTATCTACCTTATAGGGTGGTTGTAAAGATTAAATGAGATGGTATGTGTAATAATACTTTGCAAACTGTAAAGCACATCGTATCGCCAACCCTCCTTGGTGGCCTATGTCATTCCTCTTCCCGTTTTTCTCCTACCCATCATATGACCACTTCTTTGCAGTCTCCTTTGCTGGATCATTCTCCATCTCTTGCCCGTTATGTATGAGCATCCCCTGGGCTCTGTAGTGGGCCATCTTTTCTCTCTTTACCCCCACTTTTCTGGTGATCTCATCTACTCCCATGGGTTTAATTATCATCTCTGTGCAGATAATTCTCAAGTCTGTATATAATATACATCTCTAATCTCTCTTCCAAGCTCCAATCCTTCATTACCAACTGCCTCCTAGTGGATCTTATCAACTTCTCCAAACTAATATGCACAAAATGTAATTAATTTTCTTTTCTACTAAACCCACTTCTCCAAACTTCCTTGTTTCTGCAGAGGGCACCATTATACTTCCAATAACCCAAGTTTTCAAATTGAAGTCATCCTTGACTCTTCCATCTGTCTCACATCCTTCACCAGTCATTTGTCAAATCTTGTCAATTTTGTCTCTACAACTTCACTTGCATCTGTCTCCTTTCTTCCATTTATAGCTGCTACCCTACTTCAAGCTCTTATCGCCTTTTACTGGGACTGTTGCAATGGCCTCCTAATTAACTCCTTTATTTCCAGTCTTTTCTTTCTCCAATCCTTTCTGCACACAGCTGCCAAAATAATCTTCCCAAGGCACAGGTCCAGGCCATATCACTGTCCTATTGAAGAAGCTTCAGCAATTCCTTGTTGCCTTTAGCATAAAATGCAAACTTCAGAGCTTAGAATTTGAAGGACTCTTGAATGATGTTGCCAGTAAAGAGGAAGAATGGTTTTTTGGGTTATATTTGTATATTCAGATACTTGCTTAGATTTAGTTCTTATAGGCCAAAACTAGTGGCAGCTAGTTTTGGAACTATTTCCCCAAGATAATGGAAAAATATTTAGCCATGCTTAACATTATATAAACTTCTTTGTGCCTGAGTTTCTTCATCTGTAGAATGGGGATAATTTCTGCCTACTTTATAAAGGTGTGGTAAAGTTTGCTTAGATAATATAGCTACACAAATTATTAGTCTGACTTCATAACTCATCATTCAACTGAAATTCCTATCTCCAGTTACCAATGATTTTTAATCAAGTCTAATGACTTTTTCTCAATCCTCATTCTTCTCAACCTCTCTATAGCTTTTGACACTGAATCACTGAGTTCCCCTTAATTCGGTTTCCATGACACTGTTATGTCTTGGGTCTCCCCAACCTGTCTGACCACTCCTCAGTCTCCTTTGCTGGATTTTTATCCAGGTCATGCCCACTAACCATAGGTGTCCCCTAAGCCACTGTTTTGGGCCCTCTTCTCTTCTACTTCTATACT